AATGGACATGACTATATATTTTTTTTTTTTTAACATTCAACAAAACACAATACACTTGGATTGTATGTACATTAATTTCCATTATGTGCAGAACAATATCATTCTCTAAATTTAAGTAATATACACAGTAGAATTTAATGATTTCACTCAAATATATATCTATCTTACAGAAAATATTGATGTTGCCCTAAGCAATCTACAAATAAACAAGTATATTTGAAGGTTTCTTATTCCTAAATATTTTAGGGCCCATTTACACTTACATGTGAATACTATCTTGTGTTGTGTTTGAGTAGCCTATTTATTTCCTATGGGACCTCACTTGCCTAACTTATTTCTTGCCAATGCAACCCTTCACACATGTATATTCACATCTCTTTGTTGTGGTATGTTGAATGGTCGGGTGCAGAGTTAATGGCCCAGAAATAAATGGGTCCACCTGAAAACCACATATAAAATGAATGCCCTTCCTTCCCAGCAACCCTTCACTGTGTGGCCCACTGGGAGCTTCCCTTCTTCTTCCATGATTGCCTAGAAAAACCTTAATTCATTCCCATGAGGAGGTCATCCACCACTGGGGCACATCAAAGACTTATTTTCCAAAGGAATGATTGAAGATTCTTCTACTCAACAGCCCCAGACTTTCACATGAGTGGCTTCCAGTGAGCCACACAGCAAAGATATAACATGAGTGAGGGCATAAAGTATAGACTTTGGGGTTCACTGGACTAAAATACAGTTAATCTCTAAATCTCTCAGTATCAAATAAATTGTATCACTTGTATGTCTCTAGACTCCTGTGACTTGTTCCAGGTCTGTGTTCCAGGCAACTAGTATTTTTAGAAGAAAGTCAGCAATTGCAATCTCCATATTTCTCTTAGAACAGGTTTCCTTTCATTAGACTCAGTCACTTTGCACATTCAAGGCCACATGTCCATGTCTTTGCTAAGGCCCCTCCACTGATGCTCATTTTGCACTTTCTCCAGCACTTCACCCTTCCTTGTTGGGTGGTATTGGATGCTAAGGGGGAGCTGAGACATCACTCTCTCTGTCATGTCACAGTGTTAGGGCCTAGCAATTGACAGTTTGACCCGAGCACTGTCATATGGATGGAGGTTACATGCTCTTCCATACTTGAATGCATTGCGTATCGTTGCCTGCTGAGACAGAAGGAGGCTTGGCCAGGGTTGGGTCTGGAAAACTGAGTATCAGTGAGTGGGGTAGGCCCCTCTGCAAAGACAGGGTCACATTCAATAGGCGACAGTGTCTTTAAAGTGGATTAGCTAGGAAAACTAGTGTGAGTGTTCCCAGCTGGGGGTAGTGATAATATATTTGGCAGCCAAATCTTTTTTTCCAGTAAAAAATATATATATGATCATACTGGGTAGTTATTTAAAGTATGCCTGTTATTATTAGTGAGCAGAATCTAGTGAAAACTGTTTTTTAGTTTTCGATAGAAAAAGGAAAATTGAAACCCTCTGTAAGGTTAGATCTGCTCTCTGTGTCCCTTTTGGGCAGATTTTCCACCTCACCGTATGTCCATGGTGTCACCAGTTAGCAAGACAGGAAGTGACGGGAATCTCCCCAATGGAAAACACAGGCAGCAAAAAAAAAGCCAAATCAGCTCTAAAACTACCTCACTCTAGGCAAAAAAAAGTGTTATTACTGTTGGCTGTGTTCTCATTAAGAAGGGGTCCATAATAGAAGTCACCAGCACTTGATGATATGTGCAAGTAGTAAAGCACTTTTTATTAAATTGTCACATGCGTCATACAGCCAACATTTTGGGGCCACACAGGGTCCCTGTATGGCCCTAAACGTTGGCTGTATGACACATGTGACAATTTAATAAAAAGTGCTTTACTTCTTGCACATATCATTGAGTGTTAGTAACTTCTATTATGGATTGTATCTGACACGGCTCCATCCGTGTTGTCACTTCAAGCACCAATCTTCAATTAAGGTCTGTATGTGGTATGGAGTGCAGGTGATTTCGTATTATCGACTCATTAAGAAGGGTTCCCTTTATTTCCTGATGTGGCGACTGGTGCCACCTGCAACAGAAAGTAAAGGGAAATGTCCCCAACAGGGACACCAAGCAATCAACTAACTTTTAGAGCAAAGACGCTTTAGAGCCTCTCTTGGAGTTTAATTTTGAGCATGTGACCTTACTGGGGTCGTTCCTTTCACTTTCCATCATATTAATACCTCCAATAAGACACGAGGGAAAATCTCCCCAACAAGGACACTAAAAGCACTAAAAGCTGACTGAGATTTTACACCTGCCCTACTCTATCCAAAACTAGACAAAACTTTTTGGCTAGACTTCTACATTAAGTTACAAAATAAACAAAACAGCTTAAAAGTGGGCAATGTAATGTGTGCATACCTTTTGTCAAGTTGAAACCCTGGCATTCCCCCCAGCACATCACAATGCACTGTACATACCTTCTGCAATACAGAATACACCGCACATAACACTGTGGATTGCAGAGGGGGTCTTGCTATGGGTTACTCCACTGTGCAAAATTAGTTTTGCTTTATGTAATGACCAGTTCATCTTATATGTTTCAGGGCCTCTGGTCTGATCTTTGCATCCACGTTCCTATATACATCTGCTGCATCTATTACAAGGAGGTCTAAGTCATAGTGCTGGACTTCTCACAGCAGCTAAAATGTTGAATCTACTCTCATGGCATGAGAAGTGAGACATGGTAGTGAGAGCAGAGCCAGGAACGTTGGCAGAGTCCATGATAGACATAAGAAGCCAGCCATTGATTCAGCTCACCAGTGTCTACACACCACTGAAACATCACAATTGTTTGGGCAGACCCTTTAAATGAGCCAGTTTACAATAAAGCATCTATTTTTCTAAGGAATCTCTAGAGATGGGCTCATGTACTGTATGAGATGAGCTTATAATACTGTATTGTCAATTAAAAAATATTATGAATTATTTCTAATTTGCACATCCAATGTATTTCATCTGATCTATGACTAAGTAAACTGTAGCTGAAACATGGACTGTTATTGAATCAGTAACTTTGTACAATTCATGCAGTGAGCCTTCAATCCATTTCTCAAACAGCTGAACCAAAGGCAATCTGTAAAGAGCAGAAACTTTAGCCATGCTATCTGCTAAAGGCTTCATCGCTGAAGGTCTGCAGGATCCAGGTTCTGGTCACCAGTTTGCTGACACTAGGTAAGTGCAAGTGTCATGCAGAGAAGCCTAAGAGGAACCAGTCTAGGAAGCAGTGCGTCAGGACTGTCTGCCGCTCTGAACGAATGCAGATCATACATTTACAAGAACATTGCAGACATTATGTGACATGCTGTCAATTTTGCTGCTCATTAACAGTGCTTAGCCGCAGACAGCCCACGTACGGGATCACCCCTTGTTGCACATGCTACCTTGAGTTCTAAAGCAAAACAATAACTACATAGGAGGCAACACAAGAAAAGAGAAAGAGAATGCAGGAGCAGTGCTAGGATATGAGCAAGTGACTGTGTGTATATATATATATACCTCTGTTGTCCTATTCACCACCATCTACGTTTACACATTGGGAAGCAAAGAAGGGGGAAAAGAATGAATGGTTAGTCCACCACTGATGATATGGATGACAACGGATCATGATAACGGTATGGGACATAGGATGACCACAAGGCAGGCACAGAAGGGGAGTTCAGAGTCTGATGATTCAATATTACACAGTATTAGAAGGTGATTCTGCATGCTATATCATGCAGTTTTACATAAAACAGATTTTATTTCTCAGTGGAAAATGCTGCAGTGTGAATTTACACTACCTAGACAAATGTACACATTGCAATACATTGAGTCCATACGTTATTAGTAATATTAAAATGGTCAATAAATAGATTAAACTGGAAAAACAGAACACTGAACGCTGAATGGGCAGAAACAGGACATTTGTTACTAGCATGCCTAGAAGGGCTTTACAGACTATTCAAGAACCCTTTAGTGGTAGGCAATTAAGGGTTAATACTGTGATCAGAGCTGTGTGATTTTATTCCTCAATAGGATCTTTAAAATCAATGTTTGCTTCTTTGCCTGTCAATCAATCCTTTCTAGCAAGCTAGAGCAATAATAAAGTCACACGGAATGGAGGAGAAGAGGAGAGTCTGCAGTCTATTAGTGTGGAATATATAGTACCATGTATGCCCAATAGCGTGAGAGAAGGATGGATTTTTCTGGGCCAAACACAGTACGAGAATGTAGGAGTGTGCCTGTTTTATAAAAGGAAAGTAGGGCTAGCTGTAGAGAGATAACCGTAAGATCCATCAAAATCATCCTGAAGACAAATCTTTGCATAAATATGCACCATTGTTATGGCTGAAATTGAATGTGTGCGCACTGAGCAGATACCTCTTGTGCCAGACACATCTTGGGCAAAAACTAGCGATCATCCAGGAAATGTCATTTTGGATGACCAGTACACCACCAATGCCTGCTCTATAGCTGGCCATAAATGTATAGGTTTTTTTTCTACTTTAGCCCGCAGGCTACGCCCCGGAACACTGGCTGCAGTCACTACTCGGCTGACAGTTTTCCTCAGTGGTTTTTTTTTTTTTTTATTTGACAGTTGCTTGCCATTGGTCCAAACCATTCACAGAGCTCACGCCTCTAACACAGAGTAGAGGCTGTTGCAGCTCTTCCCTCACTATGTTAGGTTACAGAAAGAAGTGGGGAAGCCCGCTGTAACCTAATTAGCTGTTAAAAGCCGGATGCAGCGCCACCTGTAATTAACAGGCAGCATTCCGTCCATAACAGATTACACAGTGGGGAGCCTTTCCCTGCTGTGTACCCTGTAACAAGCTGCTCTGAATAGAGAAGAAGCTGTCGGCTTCAGGCTTGAAGCCGACAGCTTTTTCCTCCATAATAATCCATAATCACCTGCCTCCCCTACCTGCACGTCCCTGAACCACTATTAGAATTTTAGCCGATTCATGGGAATTGGGCAAAATTGTAACAGTGTATGGCCAATTTAGTACTGGTCAGTCATTAGGTATCTGATCTAGTCTAAAGATATCTAGAGCTTGTCATTTTGTACACTTGGGAGAACTATTGCTGTGAAAAATGTAAATGTGGTCAGGGATTTCACTAGATATTTCTGGCAGGTCATGAATTACAGGTCACAGTTCTTTTACATTTATGCTGGACTTTTAAAGCAGGTTTCTACCTTGACAATAATTTAATGTACATTTAAATTTAATGCTCTCTTATATCTTTTTCCGAAATGCATTTAATATCAGGCATGCCAATGTTACTTTTGCCCGAGGATAAACACATCTAAGTAAAGCTGTTTATTTCTGTTGCTCAGTGACATGATGCAAAGCTGCTTTTTGGTGATGGAAAATCCTTTGCAAAGCACACAGTTGAGCTAAGCTGCTTCTAAGAGCAACAGAGATCATTCTCAACATATGAGATTTCATATGAAAAATATATATGTAGAATTAAAAATAAAATGCAATATATTTAGAAAAACTTGTAGGATTGCATATACAGGTTAGTATGAAAACAGTAACCAGTGTACTGGTTAACTGTGTATAAAGCATTAGCAATATGGCTGACAGCCAGTCCCTCCTGAAATACAGCATTGGTGCCTAATGCTGTGGGCCAATTCTGTTTAAATGAATGTACGGTATTCTTCAGAGCAGTGTATGCAGACTCGCTTCTGAAAATTACTCAACAAAATGTGGGACCTAAAGTGATGTAGAATGTGGGACTTAAAGGAGAATTATGGGGAGAGTAAAATACACTCATCCCCATAATTGGAGCCTGCGTGTGACACTGCAGCTGTCACATGTCGGCTCTATTGATCAAGAACTGAGCAATCACATACTGCCGATCGCTCAGTTCCCGATCTTCTTCCTGCAGAGAGCGGCAACAGTCAGTCGCCGCTCCCCGCAGGGATTACCTATTACCTTCTCCGTTCAGGGGATGGGCAGGGGAAGGGGCAAGCCAGCTGTCAATCAGGCAGCGGGGTGGATTCCAACAATATTGCCAGAAACTTTCTCAGCCGCAGGATGGCTTTGCACTGTCAGCATATAGTGGGCAGCAGCCCGCTATATGCTGAGTTTTAGGTCACAGGAGGACATAGTAAATGTCCTCCTGTGATCGCAAAGAGAACTATGGCCAACAAAAATTGGGCCATAGTTCTCTTTGAAATCTCTACACATCAGAAATCCCGACATGAGAGGCCAAGATATGTTACTAGCAGCCTAATGCATTTGGCTCTGGGACTTTACACTTCTAACCATGCACCAGCTTGCTCTCATGCCTCTCGGAAGACTAGGTAAACAAATTTATAAGGATCATTTTTTTTTCCAAATGTATCTGCATTTACTGTATTTGATGTACTAAGCGATACCATTGAAACACAACAGTATACACAACAAGTTATTACATCAGAATGGCCAGACTATAAGAACTGGTGTTCCTTGTGCTGAATATCTAGTGAAATCTGAGTTTTGAATCTAGTTATTTGCAATAAAAAAGAGATAAATGAAGAAAGGATATACAGGCAGATTAACAGAGGGGGTCACTAGCGGGAATCCTAAAATCCTTCTACTAGGGTTTACTGTTAAATGTGTTGGCCACATGAAAAGGATACTGTATCTTCCACACAATGAGGCCAATATACTACAGGATTTGACAATGTTCAGGCAATAAATTACCGTATATGAAGATTCGCTTCAATTATCCAATCATATGCAGATGAAATTGGTAAACAGAAATTTTCTTTTCACATGATTGGAAAATTGAAGTGACTCTTCACACATTTTATTGTGTGAATACTCTCAAATCAGTCTCCCGGACTACTATGCAACACTATACAAAACTGTTAGAGAAAATGCTTTTTGCATTTGAGTTACAATTAAGGTAAAAAGGAGTGATAGTTCTTGACTCTATAAATAAAACTATGTACTTAACCGTAAAAGCTAAATGGGGGTTATAGGGGCATTTAAGTTAATTAGACCAAAGATCCTTTATTTATAAAGATGTGGCTTTGTATGCTCTACAAGGATGCATGTACATGTGCGCAGAAGGCAGGCACTACTTTAACACTGAGAAAAAGACAATATATTGGAAGGGAAAATCCAAACTGGCTGACAGCCACACCATGACCAGTGTGTTGATATAGCCTGAATTTTTCTGGGGTTGTCCATAGATCAAACAGCTGTGAAGTCATCAGGATGATTAATCATTATTAGGAAGTGGAACATCTATATAACTCAGTGGAAGTCTCTATGTAAATCTACCCTGTGCTGTATATGTGTCATCTAATTAAAATTAATGCATCATAGCAGTGCATACATTCATGTGAGCTAGTTGTACTGGCGCATGCTCAGCTTTAGAGGTAGATAACACATAAACTGTAATGGCAGAAAGAAAAAAGAAATATGTGCCCATAAAAAATAAATAGGTAAAAAAAACAACAAAAAAACAGTATATTGGGGTTAAAGCAAGGGCAGTGACATTTAGAACTGAGGAAAGGTTTGCAATGCTTTTAGGTATCTGCTTTGCTGAAAGGCATATGATTTTATTACAGGGTGCAGAATATGCTGCTCTCCATCCATGTCCCATTCACAAACCTTGGACTCCACATCGGCATTGTGGTCATTTTGCAGGAGAAGTGCTGCAGCTTTTGTGTCATCCTTCCTGGCAGCGATGTGGAGTGCCGGAAGGCGAACCTTTCCTTTTGTGTCATTTTCCAGGAGCTGAGACACCACTTGGTCATGACCCTGCTGTAAAGCAACTGCCAGAGGTGTAAAGCCGTCCTGTGAGTATAACAAGAAACAGAGCCCAGATTCAATAACCTTTTAACACCATTAACGTGATACTTACAAAACGTAACCGTTTATAAGTGCCAGCCTTGCTGTATTAAATAGGTCCTGTACTGTGGAAGCTGTACTCAAAAAGGCATGCACAGGACAAAGCCCTAGTCACCGGAATTACCTCTAGGCTCCCTGCTGATCTCTTCCCCATAACAGACCTTCTATGCCTTGTGGTATGTTGTGATGACTAGTGGTGGAATATTTAAAAGCAGTAGTACATGTGCAGATCCTCGAAATTATTGAAGCAGAAGCAGGGATTTCACGAGACTGAGTCCACATTCACACCTGCACGTTCCGGGAATGCATGTCACATTTGTGCACATGTGCTGCATTTGCTGCGCTACCCTATTAAGTTCAATGGGGCCTGAATGCGTGACAAACTCAGCCAAAAAGCTAATGTGGCAAATTATGCAACATGCATTCCGTGTTTTTGGAGACGGGTAGGATATTAAAATAAGTAAAAAGGGAAGTAGATATTTTTTATTAACTATGCTTATATATTTATTTATGTTATGTGAGGAAAAACACACAACAAATATAAAGTATGTGTTATCCCAATTTGGTTGCAAAAGTCGAAATACACATTAAAGCACAGGAGTGCCTAGGCATAGTCACATGTCAGACAATTTTCTAAGTACTGCTTATACAATGAATTTAGTATTAAACTCCCAACCTTTTTTTTTTTCAATAATGAGTCCAGATCAAACAAATATACATTGTCCAGCAAAGTATTTCTTTATATTTTCACCCAAACACAGTCATCATGTTTCCAACTCTCTCAGCTGAGCTTCCCTGAACTTCCTGTCCAGTACTTAGATCACAAGGGACAGCATAGTCTCTAGCAGCTCCAACTACAAGCTTAGAGAAGGGAAAACGGAGGAGGAACGAATGAGGGGAAGAGAGCATAGGAGTATCTTGCCTTGCTGTGCCTGAGTGTTGTGGAGACACACACACAGCTTACTAGCACACACAAAGGTGGCTCTATAGGACCCGCAAGGGAAAGGAGCCATCCTAAAACAGGGTATGAGGGGACCAGCTGATTCTGTAGAAAACTAAAACTTTATAAAACATCAAGGAGCAGCATCCATTAGAAGTGATTAATTCAGCATATGAAATAGCTTAAAAACCTTTTGACTTTAAAATCACTTTAACATTTCTGGATGTTACCTATGAAATAGCAAATCTTTATTTTTTTTATATTTGAGCCTGCTTTAACATAATATACACAATTGGGGGAATTTATTGATCAAAACTGTAGCAGTTGCCAATAGTAACCAATCAGCTTATGTCTTCAGTTTGTTCTGTTAAGCTTTGAAAATGAAAGATTGAAGGTTGGTGGCAATGGACAGCTGCTCCAGATTTTGTCTGCCCCAGTTTTGATAAATTTCACATTTACTATATCTTGATAATATAAATAGCCTGTTTACTATATTTTGATAATGCATTTACTGTATCTTGCTGTACAATGACTCCGACTTATTATTCTATCCCACTGAGCCTCAGACACCCCCAATCTCTTAGCGCTGTAGTCACATTTTAACTAATTTTAAAATCATGGAAACGGCTCAATTATCACTGTTGGTGGAGGATCTTTGCCCATAGACGGTGGTAGGCAACTGTGTGCCAATGCCATTGGTATCCACACTTCCAGCCTACTCCTGAGCTGACAACTCAGTCACAGTAACAGAGCAAAGACTTCTGTGCACATGGTGATTACGTTTTGACTGCTGTTCAGGGTATTTCTGCACAATCATATATTTGTGGAACATATTTCTGATGTTTATAACTTTCTCCAATAGTAAGTGAAATCTTACCTCTGTAGCAAGACTTTGACTCGCCCCATTGTCCAGCAAGAACTTCACAACATCCAAGTGGTTCTCCTGTGCAGCCATATATAGTGGCGTAAAGCCATTCTGAAAATGGAAACAATACATCTGTTAAAATAATAACTGCTTGGACAAAAATCGAAACTAAGTAGTATGTAACGCTTATAACAGCCAATCATATTTCAGCTTTATTGGCTTATAGTAGCTGAAATGATGATGAATGCTTTTAATTGGTTACTATAAAGGTATGTTACTCTCCGCACTTCTGAAAATGTTAGTTCCCTGGCTGTTATCCTGACCCTATGGCTTCAGTAATTTGAGTCACTTGAACAAGTATGCAAATTAAGGAAATCAAAGGGAAGGCAGAAGTCCATATATGCATACTTGTTTGAGCATGAATTGGCATGACAGCCAGGCAACTAAAGGTTTCATAAGGGCAGCCTCCATGTTTCCCTCTCTACAGAAACCATTAAGCAGTTTGCATATACCTTAAAAACAGGGTTTTATGCTCTGCCCTACATTTCTATTGCTTTTCCAAAAGTCATTTTACTGCATACAGTCTGTATCCCTTCAGTACAACACAGAACTGTTCTCTGGCTGCAGATGTATGAAATCCATGTATTCAATCTGTATTGTACCCAAAGACATGAAAAAACAATTGTATCCATGTAACTAAACTAGATATATGATGTAAATATTCCTGAAGCTGTGAAGAAACCTCTATTTAGATTTACTTTGCTCTATTCATTATCACTTTTGAATGAAGAGGGAAGTTCAAATCACACCATTGACCTCTATGTTCAGAGCCAGCTTTCCAAAAGTGACACTGACATTTTCCTAAAGTTTCACACTTTTTTTGCAGGGATTAAAATAAGACAAATGGGTAAAAATTGTGGAAACATTCCTTCACAGAGTACAATTGTAAGAGTTCAATGGAGAGATTAGAGAGGAATGTGTTCTGTACACTGGTAAGGGAAGCCATGATGACCTAATTTTGGCTCGCAACCGACAACTGTGATATGTACTGTATAGCCTACATTCTGTCACCCTCCAAATATGATCACCAAGTAATCTTTATTTATGTACAGAAACAGGTATATGTGTAGTTACATAGTTACATAGTATTTGAGGTTAAATAAAGACATATGTCCATCAAGTCCAAGCTATTTGTGCATGTGTGTATGGTCCTATTGGTGTGTAGTACTTGTACCCCTGTATATTACAGTCCCTTAGGAAATCGTCCAATTGCCTCGAGTGATTCCACACTCTCAGCCGAAATCACAGCATGTGGCAGCGAGTTCCATACCTTGACCGATCTAACTAAGAAGAACCCCCTTCGCCCATAGTGCTGACATTTTTTCTCCACCAATTTTAAGTGGTGGCCTCTCGTCCTTGTCATCGAGTTAATTGTAAAAAGTTTGCTGCTAATGTTACTATCCCCGGTAAACATTTTATACATGAAAATCATGTCCCCCCCTTAATCTCCTTACTTCCAAGGAGATCATGTTTAATTTTAGAAGCCTGTTCTCATAACTCAGGTCCTCCATCCCCTTTATGATTTTGGTTGCCCTCCTCTGGACCCTCTCCAGTTCAAGGACCTCCCCCCTGTTAACTGGTGCCCAAAACTGGACCGCATACTCCAGATGAGGCTGAACCAGTGATCTATAAAGTGGCACATTTACGGACTTGTCCCTGCCAAACATTCCCCTCTTAATACAGGAAAGGACTCTACTTGCTTTGTATACCGCAGCCTGACACTGCAAGCTATTATTCAGCCTGTGAAGCCTGTGCAGTTGTGTGTGAACAATGAAGTTCACACACAACTACAAAATAATGGTTTTAGTAGGATAACTAGCTGTAGCTTATGTTTCCAAGGCACTAGCATTACATTCTTTTACTGCCCTTTATATTTGTTTACTGTCTTTAGTCACCTTTACGTTCTCTTAATCTGTGTTTTTGTTTCATGAAATATTTTTTTAAACCTTTACAGTGTATTTAAAATGTAATTTTTAGCTTTGGAATAGGCAATAGTTAAGACCAGCTTTCTTTGTTTTCCTGTATGTGTCCCATCATGGAGATTCCACATCACATCCTATCCACAGACACAACATAAAATAAGAGGAAATCTTTCAGAAGTGAGGGTAATCCCCTCTGACATAGTTGTCACCAGAACATGTGTGCCTGTTGGAAGATTTCCTCAAACCTTCTGTTCTTGTGACAACTCTATAATTTTACATTTCCAAAAACCTTTTTTTCCCCAGAGACAATGGTCACCAGGACAAATAGAGGGGATGAATCCACCAAGTAGGGACACAAACCTTATGTGTTTTAACACTTCCTTACTTCAGATTTAAATAAGTCAGCAATTATTAATTGTATATTTATGTTTAAGGCAGACAGGGGGAATATTTAGGGCTTGTGTCAATGGGTATACAGTATATACTGAGTGAGTTTAGGTGCATTGAGCAAGCATTTGAGGTTAAAAAAAATTCTGTAAAGTTCTTTTCTGCAGTTGCTGTATATACCTGATATTTCTCAAGGATACTACAGAGCACATTTTAATCTTAAAACTGGATGTTTTGGGGACAGATTTGAGTATCTCTCCCTCTCAGACTGAAAATCAAGGAGTGGTCAAGTGACACTGGACTTCTAAGCTGCCCCAAGCTGCTTTTGCATTTCCATTAACTTGTATAAGGCCCCTTTCACATGAGCGCCTTCAGTTCCGATCAGTGCAATGTCACTCAACAGCTCCTTGCTCAATATTCAGCTCTGTACCATACACATACAATTTTCCAAAATATTACAAAAGTGTGCTTTAGTATTCTTCAAGAATCTCAGGTATGTACAACCCCACCATTAAAGTCAACCCCTCACCAGACTGCATAGGCCCTAATCAGAAAGATCTTATGAATTAAGTATTCCAAAGCAACCAGGGAAAGCTGTATGGAAAAACTGAAATATCTAAAGATCAGCACCACAAATTCTCAGAGTGTACACTGGAATGTGTGTAAATAGAGGATTTCCTACTATTGCTGGGTCACATTTTTGATACATTTATGCATCTTCATTTTCCCTTGATGCTTATGGTGGATGTATGCTTGAATGACAGTGATCCTTAGGAAATGGATGGGGTTTGCTGTTTGCTCATGGATATTGCATGCATGTAAAGATCCAAAAATAAAAAATGTAAACCATGTAAACACAGCAGGTTGTAGTGGAGTTGCCTAAACCCATTAATTTGTGTAAATTGCATGAATCTTGACATGTACTTGTTAATTATCAGCAGATGAAGTCTAACTAAGTTCCTAACCTGATGTTCCTAACCTCATGTTCCCCATGAAGTTCCCTAATCTGGCCAAGCAAAGATCCAAGTTATGGGCATCTTTATTCCTTTTCCTGACAAGTTCTGTACTAACGGACAGTTAGTACTGCAGATCACAAGGTAGATCATATAAAGATTCCCCTTTCATCAGAATAATGCTGCGATTGTTACCTTAGGGTTAGGGTTTTTTTTTTTTTGGACAGTCTTCTAGAAAGCAAGAAGTGTCTTCACTAATTAGGGAAAGGATGCTGAAACATGGGGGTGTGCCAGGGAAGCAGCTTAGTGCTGATATGAAAGAGTGCACAAGTAACATCCACTGATGGTTCGCTTTCATATGCTGCCATCTGTTGCATAATCTGCAACCATCACCTATTTAAACTTTGTTTCTGCCAACTCCAAGTCTCTTTCATGCCCCACTTCATTTTTTACTAAATGTCTGTAAAAATTAGATATTAAGATTTGCAGTCATCATGTTTCTGAACAGCTGCCTCAAAACTCGCTCTGCTCCACTTCCCTGAACTTCCTGTCTGGTACAAGGTCAAAAGGGAATGAGCAGTCTCCAGCAGCTGTCCATCTACTAGCTTGGAGAAGGAAGGAGAGAAGGAGAGGGGAGCAGATACCAGGGCAATGTCTTGGCAAAGCGGCTTCATTATGTAAGCATATAGAAAGAATGCCCATAGCAGTGGTTCTCAACCTTTGTAACTTCAGGACCCACATTTGTCCTTAGTTGTTGAGTCACAACTCAAGTCGCACCACACTGGAACACATGGCATTGCGGTACTGCGGGTTCCGGTGCAGGCAATCGAAATGTGGGTGGGAGGTGTTTTTGGATGTGCCTTTTAAATGAATGGCAACGCAACACAACGCACCTCCCATACCAGAAAGCACTGTAAGTGTGATTGCGTGGTACAGTGTGCGTTAATCTCATAGGACTGTGTGATTAATGCACTGTGCTAGTGTGAACAGGTCCTCAAAAACACTGACAGACACACACAACCACAGACACATTGTCACACACTCACAGACAGACATTCTCACACACACACAAGGTGCCCTCCAAATAGTGGGTGGAGGGGATCGCATAAGATGTGCTAAGGGCAACTCCATGCAAAAAGGTTTCCAATAGCCTCTAAGGGAGCCTGTCAGAAGGAGCCTTAGGTAGAGGTGATATCCATAGTAACCACTGAGAAGCACTACAAAATGCCAACTGAAATCTGAGTGGTTCACACTTTTACAGTAGGGTTTACATTCAAGGCTCACTGTGCTGTTGATCACTGATAATATGTGAATAGATTTGTGGTGTTTAACACCATTCTTTGTTAGAAAGTATTTTTCTTGGCTTTTTATACCTTTTACTAAAAACCAGGGAGAGAAATGAGGTTGACTGTATGCTCTTCTAATTATCCATTCAGGCCATGTAACAATGCAGCTTGCACAACTTTACAAAGGATACATAGGTACAAGCTTAGAAATCGCTTGTGCATAACTTGCTATTTCAGACTCTGCTGCATGAATCCCTCATTGCAGCAACATTCTACCCATTGTTCCTGTACAAGGCTCCTGCTACACAGCATGCAATAATCAGCTCTCCCATCACAGAATCTCTCAGTTAAGAAAGGGAGTAGAATTACATCAAATAGCTAGCTAATGCAATGCAAATCCATATCAATACATGGGGTCGCTGGGGACATGAAGGGGGAGATGAAAGAGAACAGTGTTTTGTTTTTTTTCTATCCTTGTCTAATTTTGTTTTAAAAAAAATCTAATTTGTGTCTTCTTGGGGGTGTGGGGGGGTCGCCTTCATGGGATTCTTGCATGGGGCCCTGAGGTCACTAGTTACGCCACTGCACTCACCTCATAGTTCTCCTTTAAGGATAAAAGTTTCACTTAATCAGGCATTATTTTGGCTAGAGATGGGCTTTAGGCCCAATCCACTTACAGTTTTTGGGTGGTGTTGTAACCTCTCTAACAACACTAATTCTTCAACTGTATGTGACTTTAGTTACATAGTTTTGATTGGAGATTGACTTTAAAGGAGAACTATGAGGTGAGTGCTTTTCACTCACCTCATAGTTCTAGCCGACCTGTGACAATGAGACTGTCACAGGTCGGCTCAGTAGATCGGGAGGTGAGCGAACATATCCCGGCGTTCGCTCACCTCTCGATCCTGTCACAGCTCTCTGCCGTGACAGGGGAGGGGCTGGATTTCCCCCTCCCCGCTCCGCCAGCGCTGACTGGCGGAACGGGCGGGGGAGGGGGCGGGTACAGCTGGCTCTGCCTCTAGATAGGCAGAGCCAGCTGTCACTCGCGCAACTTGGCGGATCTCGACATCGATGTCGGGATCCGCTCCGGCTCCGGCGTCTCAGTATACCGCGAGCTACAGCATACTGTATAGTATATAACTGTATAGTTACCCTAAGCTCACAGTATACTGAGCTTAGGGTAACGGGAGGACGCTAGTTTGTGTCCTCCCGTTAGCCTAAGGAGAACTATGGGGAAAAGCCCTGACCCCATAGTTCTCCTTTAAGAACTGGTTTTGATGTAATTTTCTAATACCGAGAGTCATTAGCTTACACATATTTCTGTCGACATAAATGCAGAATAATGGTATATTTACCTGGGACTGTGCATTAACATTAGCGCCATTCGTTACCAAAACTTTTACTACTTCCGCTTGTCCTGCTAAGGATGCTATGTGAAGAGCAGTGTTGCCTTTCTGCAAAATAAAAACCAAATAAATACATTTGTTATTACAGATAAAGTACAGTACATCTTACTTTGATAAAACCATGGAAAAAGGCAAATGCACCCCTTGTATTTCTTTAAAATGTTTTAAAAGGAAAAAAACAGCCTACAGAAACTGTAATGGGTTTTACAGATTCAAAGACCTGCACCAAAAGTACAGGTCACCGGTAATGCCCTATTTTACTATTATGAAGGCCTGGGCTTAGACATAAGCACAGCAATGGTGACACGCTCTGCTATAAGAGCAGGGCCAGATTTACGCTCTCTGCTGCCCCAAGGCCAGGTTTCTCAATGCGCCCCCCCCATGGAGAATGGCAGACCTGCAGGCTGCATACAAGTGATCTCGGCGACATTGCCGGGATCACTTGTACAAAACAAGCGGTGGCTTCCCTGCTGTACATTTAGCTCTGCTTGCCCAAAGCAGGGCTAAATGTAGAAAACAACTACCCGCCCGGTGCCCTGAGATAGGAATTCCACAACCCTGCTGCCCCTCTACTCCCTGCTGCCAAAGGCCAGGCCTTGGTTGGCGTTGTGGGAAATCCGCCCTGTATAAGAGTGACAGCTACTCATATTGGCCTCAATCACCACAGAAACGGAAACCATATCACCCAGATCTATCATAGAATGCAGCTTTACAGGTCCTTTTTTTTCCAGGACTTTGCAGCACTCTTCAGAGACTATATCATTAAAGAAGAACAATAGAAGAAAGGTGCTGAACATATTAGAAAATCTACTTAAGGGCAAAAACCTGTAGTAGCCGTTGTCACACCATTAAAGTAGGCCCAGCAACAGACTTAGTAATGGAGCCAGGAAGCTTTCATCTTTGACTTTTTGTGTCCTATAGTGAAATGATGCCCCTTTGTTTAAAATAAATCCTAACCAAAAGAAATATGTAGGCTGACGATGCCGACCTCCTTCTAAAAATGATATGTGTCTGGCTAGCTTTGGCTTAAAAAATTCTAAGAAGTGACCTGGAGCAAGCATATTACAAGTGAAGCAAAGCCAGGATATCTGATACCTGCTTACATGTTCAAAGTCAGTATTTAATAAAGCATTAAAACCATTGGATCGGCATGACAGCCAGGAAACTAGCACTTTCACAATGGGAGGTCAGAAATCGCAGCATTTACAAACTTCTTAGTCAACCTTATTGTAAAAATGAATCCTTGCCAAACCTCATAAAAATTAATTTTTTTAAATCTCATTTTTCTGGTTCCCTCTATAAACTGTAGAACTCCAAGAATTGACCACACCTTGTACACAATATTGGGTGCTGCTCTCCTGAAAGGCATAACACAGCCATCTCACATATAAGGAGGCCCCAGCTTATTTGTGTCTTAAAATAACTCTGTCATGATAAATGTGTGGGGGCTGCCGTTGCTGATACACTTGTGAAAATGCTAGTTGCCTGGCTTTAATACTTTTGTGCCACGGACCACACCAAGCATGCTGTAAATGAGAGTAAGAATTCCTTATTTCAATACTTGTTCCGTGCCATAGACTCAGTCAAAGCCTCAGCAGGGCAGTCGAAGAGCTAATATTCTCCAAGGAGAGGTCAACAATGGAAGCTCCCATACTTTTCTCAGAGTCACCTAAAGGTGGTCTCGGTATCAGGGCACAATACACAAGCTCTAATTGACCGGCACTGTATGATGTTGGGTTCTTGTTGACTTACATGTGAAGGATATGTAGCATTTGGGAGATTTCTATAGCATATTTAGCATTTCAGGGGAGGGTGAAGAGTTTAGTTTGCACAACACGCTCCCATCACGATTTGGCTTATAGTCTAGTATGTGTGCAATATACAGCAGGTCTGGGAAATAGCTATTATGTCACAGTTATTTGGAGATGCCATTGGAGGTATTTCTCTATATCGTGTGATCATAACAGCATCATTTCAGCTTCTAATGTAAAGGTGCAAATATCTACAAATATTACTAAAAACAAAAACAAATGGACAAAAGGCATGGTCGTAACATCAGGTTAAATATAAGTGAGGCGATATTAACTAATAGGAAAAAATATACATAGTGTACATACACCAGTAAGTGGAAACAGTAAAATAGAAGGGTGGGGGATATGTAAATATGCAGTGTTGATCTAGATTATGTATTTAGTAGAACTGAAGCCACACAGTATGTTATATTGGAGAATTAATGCCATTGCTGTACAGGACAACTGAAATCAATTTATGGAAACAAAACCATATTTTACGTGTAATCTGCTATTTGCAGAGGAAAATTTGGGGTCGTTGCACCCACTACTATACAGAAGGGATGTCCCATCACAAGTGTGTGTAAGGGAGAAGCACATATGTTTATATTGTAAAGAGCTGTGCAGACTGTTGGCGCTGTATAAATCCTGTATAATAATAATAATATTATGTTCATTGTTTTGCCCAGTGACAATTTAGATCTGGGGTCACCACATTCACTACCATGCAGAGGCATTTACATGTGTGTGGTGGAGGGGCACATGTGATCATTGTTTTACCCAATCTTGACCTTTCAGATATGATATTGATGATAGGTGATTTAAACTGTAAGTGATACGACCAGCATAATGGTGGAGTTATCAGAAAAAAAGAACAAAAAGCGAGGGGTGAGGAGTCTCTAACAGAACTTTGTGTTGATTCAAATATTTTCTATCAATGACAGAATGCAGAAATGAATGTGGTCTGTGATATAAAATAAAAAGGACAGGCACAAACCTTTGTAGATGCGTCAACATTAGCGCCTCGTTGTATCAGTTCCGAAACTATTTCTACATGTCCTTCTTTGGATGCAAGATGGAGAGCATTCAGTCCATTCTACGAACAACAAACACATGAGCCGTAAGAATTACATTTATGGCTATAATAAACCACAATATCACAGAAGTGTCTGCAATTTACATTCACAATGGTTACTTATCAAACGTGAAAGGTAAAGTATTATGCTTTTATGGTAGGTTTTATTTGTATTCCTATTTAAATGTTTACACATTTTAAACCGATCTAGTAGAATTTTTAATTACTTGTATTTAGATTGTTTAAAAATCTTTAATTTCTAAATAGACATTTAGCACTAGGTACTTTTATATCATTTAAGTTGCAGAACATGCTGTGCTTTCTAATGAGAAAGACCAGCACTGTCTTCTTTACTTGTTGATTGAAAAATCCATATAGGTCTGCTTGAGACAGGGAAGGGGAAGGAGGGGGTATGTCCCTCCTCTGACCCTGGCAATTAGAGGCTAGTAGAAACAAAACCTGGCTTGGGTCAGAATTAAAACAAGTGGCACACTACAAAGTTAATCAAGGATATATTTGCAAGCCCCAATCTCTCACACATGACAAAAAGCATGGAGAAATATAACATAAGGTAGAACGACTGTAAATGGGAGGAAATTGATGCATGAAAGGGCATTTACATTACTCCAAATTTTACCCGATCTGTTCCCTACAGTAAACTTGAAAGCTTGAAGTGCCAAGAACCAACTAGTCATCCAGCAATTTGTTTCCATATTTTTATGGTCAGTAACCAGCTTGAACTGTCTTCCTAAAAGGTTTCCCAGTGCCCATTTAATAGGAAAGCATTCTTTCTCTACAATGGCATAGTTTCTCTCATGTACAACAAGTTTCCTACTCCAAACCTATAGGCTCTTTTGGGGATTTACCATTAGCCCCTGCTTTTCCGAGGCAAGTACCACATGTTTAGGACAGGTTCATCTCCCAGTCAAAGCTATGAATGACTATATCATCCAGATAGGCTGTTGGCTGTGAGGTTTTAAAATCTTATGCACTATTCTCTGAAATGAGGCAGAGGCCCCATGTAAGCAGCACCATATACTGGAATGATCCCTCCGGGTGTGGAAAACACAGTCTTACTTAACACTTTCTATAAGTGGTACTTGCCAGTAGTCATTTTTCAGATCTTAAATTTTTAGATATCTGGCAGCTCCCAGTCTGTCAATAAGTTTGTCAACCCAGGGCACAGATTAAGCATCAAACTTGGACATGTTATTCAATTTCCTAAAATCATTGCAAAATCTCAAACCTCCATCTGGATTTAGAATGAACACTATCAGATTTGACCAGTCACTGTGCAATTCCTCTATCACTCCTAGCTTTGGTATTTTTCTTATTTCTTCTGCAACTGCTCCCTACCAAGGTCAGGTATTCTATACAGCTTTAGATTTACCCACACACCACACTCAAAAACAATATCACGCTGAATAACTGGGGTACATCCAGATATCTCAGAAACTACTCTTTTACATTTCACTTCTGGTATTGTGGACACTATATGCATTTAGGGATTAACATGGCCACCAGGGTTGTCCTTCCATGACTTTATGAGAATAATGCGATAACTTTGCTCTGGTTTCCTTTTACACAGCCGATGGTCTATATAGTTTACTTCCTCTACTTTCTTCATGACCTCAAAAGAGCCTCAGCCTTGGCTTTTAGCCAGGAATTTGTTTTAGACTGTGGGAACTAAAACTAGTACCTAAACTCCAGGGTTGAAAATTATTAACTTTGGCATCTCTATTATGAACCATTTTCTGGGATTCCTGGTCTTTCTCTATATGTTGCCGAAAAAGGAGAATTACAGCTGCAATTCTATCTTGCATCCATGAGATATACTCAATAATGCTTTTATAACATCGCCAATGTTTCTTTTGCGACATCTAGCAAACCTATGGGGTGCCTACCATAAAGTAACCTAAAAAGTGAAGAACCTCTGGATGACTAAGGCACTTCTGCAAACATTTGGTAGGGCAATAAGAAATATCAATTCTTTCCATCTTTGTCTACCACTTTCATTAACATGCTCTTAAGAGTCTTATTAAATCTTTCCACCATACCATCAGTTTGAGGGTAGTAAGCAGAGGTGTATAAGTGTTACAGTTTGCAAAGTCTCCTTCAGGATGCCTACCTTGCTAAATACCAGGACAGGTTACTTAGCAATTGTTTTGGCTAGTAAAGTGTGCAAGCTGATCGCTTCAGGCTATTGGGTGGCATACTCCAGTATCAATAGTATATGCTGATGCCTCCAAGCAATTTTTACAAAACTGGGCCTACCAGATCCATGCCAGTTCTTTCGAATGTTACTTCAGTGATTGCCAAAAGTTCCATTGGGCTGCGATAATGGGGCATCGGTGCAGAATACTGACACTCTGAGCATGACTTAGAATATTCCTTTAAATCCACATGTAACTCAGGCCAAAAGAAGCTCTGGGTTACCCTCTCTTTAGTTTTCTCAAGTCCCAGGTGTCCACCCACCCACCTATTAAATGACCATCATCTACCAGCCTCCGGTAAGATTTAAGGATGACTAATTGCTCCACGACATCCTACTTTTGCTTTGCCACTTGATACAACAACTCACTTTAAAGAGTCATGTATGGGAAAGACTGGTCAGGCACTAACTAAACACATACCTATAGATACCTATCGGTTGGCGTGCTAGATCTCTCCCTTCGCAATGTCACATGGGTCAAATGCAGGTCAGAAGAAGGCCAACTACAGATCATATGCATCCGTCAAATTCTGAATGATCTCAGAAGCATCTCAAACTGATGTCAAACCAATCCCATCAACTTAAGCCCAAAACCAGTCAACAGAGACTTTACTTTAGTAAGGTTTACTTTTTAAAACGCTTCCCAATGATACATAATGTTTCCATGAGCTCAATAATTTCTACTTAAAATAATAAGTCTTTACCTGATTGCAGACGTTGATGTCTACTCCATTTTTCAAATAATCAAGGGCCTTTTCTATATTACCAGCCCGGGCAGCTCTCAAGTAACTTGCACTTGTGTCTGACTGCTATAAGAGAAGAAACAAATGTTCTATCAATAACACGGCATGTATACAAAAACATATTGTTTTTTAAAACATTTCCATGTGCTAAAATAAAACATAATAAACATTACAATAAACAGAGGTAGAAAGGTTTACTGCACTAAAAGGAATCACGTAATAGCAGTTATGAACTAATAGCTTATTTGCTTGCTTAAGGGGTCATATCGATGGGTGTTTTCCTTCATTTGACATGCATTTAAAATTAATTTCAAATGCAGGTCAGCAACATCCCATGGACTTTAATTGAGCAATTCACGTGGCGTTTAAATGGAAAACACCAGTTGAATCAAGTCTTAAAGTATAACAGGATTTTTTAGTACAGGTATCCTTTAACTCAACTCCCTTACCCCTGAAAGTCGTATCCTCACAATTCTTCATTATTAGACCGTCACTGTATGGTCTATTGCAAAGTTTTCCAGCCAGTCAGATATTCCTTCTGCATACAAATTTGTCTATTCATCCCTATAGAGAGGCTGTCCAAAATTGGGACACATAATAGACATCCTCTCCATAGTAAAGGATGGAGATTTTCCATTCATTTACAGGCTGGGTGAATGTACTGCAGCTCCTAGAAGGATTCATAAAACTAGCAGGAGCAAGGACATGTGAGTATAAGACTTTGGATATTGCTGGGGATGGGAGGGTCGTCATTTAAAGAATAATTGTACCAAAAGTATAGTTATCCTATAAGAGTCAATCCATCTAAAATTATATTTTACTTATAGGTGGATCTTAATGCGCCAAGTCAGTTCCTGGCTTTTAAAATGCCCTGAAGACTCCAATAAAAACATCTCCCTGACAAAATTCCCAACTTTGACCTAATCCATCTGGGAGTTTTCGGTGTTCTTGCCCAAAGCTGTTGGTTCTAGAACCTCCTATTGCATTCTCCATTATGTGCAGACCCAGGAAAAGGAGCACAGATCTCATCAACAGATCCCAATAGATCTCATCAACAGAGTTCCCAAGAGATATAATAAACTGTTAAGTAGATCAACCTTGTAGCATCAACTAAAAACCAAATGAGTAGAATGGCCTTTTAAATCTGCAGCCTCCAATAAATGTTAAAATGTTGCTTGAAGCCATTGGGTCCTAAAACTGCCTACAATAAATATACACAATTAACCAAGCAAATTTTGACATTCCTAAATGAGCACAATGGAAACATAAGGACTCTGTAAAAGCACAATGGAACAAAACCGGTAATGGAGATGTCATTTACAACATTATTTTATTGACCTGGCTTGGAATATTAATGCAGCGAAAAATGTGTATAAAAGGCGGAGTGTTCATTTTTTTTTAAATCTAATTTTGCACTGACTTTCTTTCTGGAAATAACACTGAACAAAGGAAGGAAGATAGTCAGAAACTGCTATGGTGATGTTCACATAATATGGGTTAACGTATCTGTCATTAGTTTCTCTGTAAGTCTACAGATGTTTCTTTACACATTTTCATTGTCTCTCTGATCTGCTACAAACCCAAATGGAAGTCTTCTGCAGAATACCATCTATTGTTTACTAATCATTATAGCTTCCAATCCATCCCCTGCAATAAACTACTCTGTACATACGATGGACATTAGTTATCTGTAGGAGCGTGCTACAAATTGACATTCAGTGTCTCAAAAATCATCGGGGGGGATTTCTGAAATCTAGTTGTAGCAGCCTGTGTAGCGTATTGTACCACATTGAATCTATGATAATTAATCAGTCTCAATGTGGCAAGCAATCTGGAGCTTACTGAGGAATTTATTATTGCAAGAGAACACAGCCAGTAAGCAGGTTATTTAGTCCTTCTAGGAACAGAAATAGATTTCACATAATAAATATTATCTTCTAGCCCAATCAATACATCTGCCTAAGGGTGTATACATTTATGTTAAGGTGTTCATAAATGCAAGGGCATTAATATCTAAAGACTGTCCTATAAACATGTACACTGGGAGTTCAAATTTATGTCTACGAAGTGGAAAGGTGGTAGGTGCAGGGCATGCTCTAGCACTAGCTCTAGTGCTAGAGTATCTGTGAGGGAAAAATGGTAACTGGACAAGTTTTTCCAGTATTCCAGCTAGTAATAGTAAGTGCAGGATATAGTAAATTATTTAAAGGGAGGTGTGGTGGCAGTTATTTGTAAAGGTTGCTTAGAGGGATGCACTATGTATGTATGTATGGATGTATTCGTACTCGCCCAAATGCTCCAATACTTCCCCCGATACCGGAACTTCCGGTCAGAGGGTGATTCCCTCTGATCGGCAGTGCCGCAAGGGAGCATGGAGCTGGCTATATACACAGGTACACTGCGTACCCGTTTTAGCACGATAGAAATAAAATTTGAGTTTTAATCAATATGTCCATGAGTACACCTTAAAGCCCTAAAAAGCCTTTCTAGTTCATTGTTGCAGATTATGACCTACAGTTTCTACATACAGTATATGCAAAGTTGCATGAGCCTTTTTGGTGAATCATGACTAATGTGATATCAGATAAGTAATGATATCAACATTTCACCTTCCAGGACATTATCTGAGCCTCTCATATTAGGATCAAGCATCTAAATGCCCACCAATGAAAAAATTAAAGTAAGCAGATAGAGGTGTCAAGGCAGCCGCCAAACAAAGAAAACTCCTTGCAAAAGGACTGAACAAGAAAAAATGCCAGGTACATGGCCAGCTTTAAGATACCCCATGTGGCTGAACAATTCAAACCACTCAATTCCCTCAGCCAGGCTTGGACACAGTGTGGATGAAGGAATCTCACATACTGTCTATATATTAAATTCAGACAATCGGCACCTGCATCTGACTGGCTGCAGTCATTGTTCAGCTGACAATTTTCCACCTGGCTGCTTCAAATCAAAGTTTATCAAGCCAGATGTGAATCGGCCAAAATTTGCGCTGTATACTTACGCTATCTTAGCAAAAATCTAAAGCATGTCTTGCTAGCATTAGAATCTCAAACGTGCAATATAGGAGTAGATATTGTTGCTTTCAAATAAAGCAACTGAGCACAGCTTCATTTCACGGTTGATCACAAATTGCTTGTGTATGCTAGCTAGTACCTTTCACCAAGCAGAATAATAAGCACACTTCTTTGCGCCTTGCTGCTGTGAAATACATTTCTTCCAAATAATATTATCACAAGTGATAATGACATAGAATCTCACTCTTCCACTGAGCTCCACACTTCCTCCCACGCCGTCATAAAGGTCTGACGTTAGCAGTTCCAGTTCATACCCAGTCTATGTTCCCTGTGATAATTTATAGCGTTATATTTTTATATTATATTGCTGTTGCCCCTCACAAAGCTGTTTTTGTAAACATCAACTGTGGCCCATACAGACGTCATGCTGGTAGGCAACACAAATTCACGCCATCTAAATAAGGCAATTGTTCCAAAAACAAGTGTTCAGCATTGCCGGCATCCTGTTTCGGGACACAGGCCAATGCATTTTTTTACTCAGCACAGACAGAAGCTGCTAGAGATTCTCCTTGCTACAAGCACAATCAATGGACAAAGAGGTCTGCACATAATGCACTGTAATGATGACATTTTAAATAACATAAATATATATTTTAATTTATATATTAATTTACAACATGCACTAACAGAAGATTTATCTAGAAATCATTTCATATTTTAAGAACATTTTTTTTTTTTTACTGTCCCTTGTTTATATTAAAGCTAAACTCCAGTCTTCCCTGCAGTCCACTGCTTGTATCAGGGCTGAGGGAAGATGCTGTGATATTTTCAGGAAACTATGTACAGCACCTTGCCATCCCATCCCATCTGCCTGCATAGCTCAGAGACCCGGTGATGATGTAATGAATATAAAAAATTTGCTAAAGTAAAAAAGATAGTCACCTGAACTGTCACAGCGCTCCCTCCAGCCTGACTCCCCCACCACTGCAGTGACGTTACGTCCCTCAGCATCCTCATGTCCTATACACTGTCTATAGGACGCTATGACTCACAGGACCTTAGACCGCTGCAGCAGAGGGGGAGAGAAGTTCCAGGGACCCGTCTAAAAGCAAGCAAGCTACAAAGGTCGGGTGAGTATAACTTTTTTTATTTTAGCACGTAGACAAAAATGAGCACCTAACCGTTGCAATGCGGGGGTAGCCCCACTGCAAGGGTTAAGAACAGTTTTGCTCAGCGTTCTGCTTTAAACTTTAGCCTAAAAATCATACAGCGTGAACAGCAATGGTGCTCTTTCTCAAGACCATCAAGTGACCAAAATTAGCCTGCCCCTCCTCATATGTGGTTTGTGTTGTCAGCTGTCTATAGTGTCCTTTCTATGCAGGGGAGATGACTCAAACAGTAAAAGACATGAGGGAATGACTAATTTTCTTATGAGGCCTCCCATGAGTATGGGCAGGAGTACACAGGCATTTGTGGTTTTTTCACTTCTGACATCTGTCTGTGAAGAACTTTTGACAGATGTGGAATGCAGCGTCTAAAGAGGATTTTATGTAACTGTGTCTCTGCTCACTTGCCTTTAAGGGTTCATTCACACGGGTGTAATTAAATACTTATTTATACACTGCTGGCAGAAGCTGGTAGAAAGAACCAGCGTGAAAAACGTGTGTAACGGAATGCAAAGTAGTTACATGTATGTGTATACATTCTAGTGGCTAGATTATTAAACATTCTAGCCACTATTAAACTATGAATTTACGCAGTTCAATTATGGCAGTACGCTCTTCTCCGCAAGCAGGACAGGGGCATTTTTTTTCGCATTCCTGAACACTGCTCTAGATTACAGATTTAAACACCACAATGTGCATGAACACATTGGCTATTATAGAGCTGCGTTCAGAGGCATAAAATTACAAACGTTGTATGGATCTAAAAGTGGCGTTCTTTTTAGCCCATGTGCCTGAGGCCTAATTGTTATTGCAATGCATCACATTGCACTGCTTTTATCCTTCCATACAAGTCAGCATGAATGCATTTTTATTAAAG